CTACTACTACCACTACCAATACCACTACCACTACCACTACCGCTACCACCGAATCCTATTGCAGGGACGTTAATGATTACAACAAGCCTGGAGTTTCTGTATAATACAAAACTGTAGTGACTCTACGGGATCACACCGGAAGATGACCACCGAAACCCGAAACATCCCCTACCAAGGTTTAGGCTTTCGGGAACCCTGGGCCAGAAAACGCCCCCCATGAAGAATCCGAAGGACACCTACCCCAAGCCCTACACCCTAAACCCTAAAAACCCTAAAAACCCTAAAAACCCTAAACCCAAAGAAGGCCTCCTCACAATCGCGGCCCGGATAGCTCATGGGCGGACCACAGCGGCACCAAACCGATTCGGGACTTCTTCAATTCGACGCTACGGCCTTTTCATGACCTTGCTGGGCGACTTTGGGTTTATCGGATCCGGGGGCTTTGGGGGGCAAACCTCTGCAAGCTTCCGCCTTGCTCTTCACCTGATCTTCTGCACATTTCCTCAGGCCTACCTCCCCGGACTACAGAATCGGAAGAATCGGAATCCTGCGTGAGTTTGTCGCCCTGTCTTTCGGGAGCTGCGGTGAATGTTGGAGTGTACGGTAAGGGCTTCAAGGACTTGCATGCGTTTGCACCGAACCGTGCTACAGCCACCCTCGCGCAGAGCTGCGTACAGTTAAAGTCCATCGCGCTAAGATTTTCGGCCAGCGATCAGAGTCTGTGCAACGGAGCAGGCCGTCGCTGAAAATGACAAGTGCACCTCTCTGGCTCGCCACCCGTGATTTGGAGTTTGCGAGCCCGAGCACCACCATCTTTCTGACATCTATATATGATATCATACAGACTTTGTACTAGGTTGTACAAATGCTTGTATTCGATGCTGTATATCAAAGGATGGTGCCTGAGGCATCTAGACTCGACAACTAAAAGCGATCTGCAGGGCGCTTTCCCCATGCTGGGCAGGGCCGGCGGATCTATGCTGCACACCAGTGCTGCCTAGCCCATGGAAAAAACGTCCTTCTTGGGCCCTTGGAGGAACCCTGGTGTAGTACCCATATAATACATATCATACCCTTTAAGCCCTAGTAGAAGACCCTTTTTGGTACCCCTCAAGGGCTCCTTCAAGGGTTCGTCTTTTGGGGGGGTCCTCTTATGGAATGTACTTGCCCAGGAAGCTCAAGAGGACTTTGCTGCCCTCCGCCGACTGAAAGAAGTTGTAGCCCTCGCTCCGGTTCCGACCTCGTGTCTTGAAGGGGGGCTCTTGGTGAGGTCCCAGGAAATGGAGCTCATTGCGCTGGCGGGAAGCTTCATCCAAGTCCTTGCCAAACTCTGCGAAGATCTCTGGTGCACCGCGCTCGTGATAGTCCTGCAGATCGTGAAGCGTGTCGCAGAAGAGCACGGGCACCTTGACATCTTTTGCATACTTCTTGGCAGACATTCTTTCGAGTGTGATGCTGATGTCTGGGGCCTTGATTTTGCCCTCTCTGTCGTACTTTGCCTGGTTCTCCTGGAGGGCCTCGTTGAGGAGCTCCACGTTCCCCAGGCCGAAAAAGAACGGCCGGTCCGCGAACATGATGGGCGCGTGGAAGATGTTCGTCGTCGCCCAGGCCGCGACGTTCTTGAATTTTTCCGGGCAGACGGAGTTGGCTTTGAGGAAAGCCACGCCCGACACGCAGAAGGGCAATAGAGCTACCTTGCAGTCCTTCAGCGTCGGGTGGGCATTTACCCAATCCATGACGCCGGCTGCATCCATGAACTCGATCTCACCCCATCCCGCCGGCAGCCTCCGTTCGGAGTCTCCATGGTTTCTCAGGTCGTAGCCGATGACATGATAGCCCGCATCGTAGAGGACCCGATGGAGCTTCACGTAGTCGATCGCCTCGACGGGCACCACGCCGTGGCGGTGGTGGAAGACGCAGCCGGACTTGTTCGCTTTGGCCCAACTCTGATGGCCTACGATCGCCAACTTCTTCGAGGCGGAGCCCTCCTTGCTGGGGATGTACCACGCAGCAATCTGACATCCGTCCAGCGCCTTCAGGCGCACCTCCTCGTAGAGCATGCCATGGTCCTTGGGCGTCCTTACCATCTTCGTGGCCAGCTCCCCATCCCATGTCGCGTCCATGATGACGGTGGTGGCCAAGAACCTGGCAGCGGATTCCCATACTGGGCGCCAGGTCTCCTTTAAGGTCTCCTCTGAAGGATCCTTTAAGGGATCCGCCAGAACCCTAGCCCAGGGCTTCCCAAACTCCATAAGCGCTGATCCCATAAAGCCTACTGCCTAAGCCCATAAACCCACCCTAAACCCGCAACCCATGAATCGGTTTCAGGACTTAAAGGGCCCCAAACCCTAACCCCCCAAACCCTGAAGCCTACTGCCTAACCAAACCCTCCAAAGAAGAGCCCAGCCCAGACGCTTGTTCATACCCAAGTAGTGGGCCACCCTTTGCGGAGCGGTCGGTTTGCTGCCACTGGCCTCCAAGGCTTGGGGATTCTGGATGACACTTTCATATCAGTGTTCGTATCCGATATATTTATCCAACGATCCATCCATTTCGCCCATCCATCCATCCATCCATCCATCCATCCATCCATCCTATCTGGATACCCACACCTTCTTGCGGGCTGCCCACTCTCTAACTACCTATCCACCTTCTGACACTTGTTATCAAAGATATTTTGCATCTCCGGAGTTAAGCTGTTTGGGATGGCTTGCCCACACGCTTGGCCCTATATGCTCTGCTACTCTGCTCGTGGTCCTCTGCTGCGGCTTCGGGTTTAGGGTGCAGGGCTTAGGGCTCACGGACACTTCAGTTGGAGTCTTCATTTGGAAGTCATGGCACGTCAACGCTAAACCGTACACCCTAAACCCGTAAAGCGCCAAACCACTAAACCCTACACCTCAAAAAGACCCTAAACCCCTAAATCCTAAGCCCTGAGAAAGCAGCCAAAACCCCCTCGCCTACAAAAATAAAGAAACAGAAACGCCAAAGAGCTGTGCCTTTGGTGGGAAGCAGGCTTTGAAGGAGCCCTCCCAGCAGCAGCCCGCAAAACCTGGGCTCTAGGGGTTTTGGGTTTTATGGTTCAGGGTTTAAGGTTTTGGGCTTTAGGGTTGCGGGTTTAGGGTTTTAAGATCCTAGGCCTGTACGGGCATAATATGGCTTCATTGCTACGGTGCGCCTTAAACTAAATAAACTCTTTAATAGGAACCCAGAAACAGCCGAAGATCGTCTGCATGTCAGCAACGCAGCAGAGGAGGGGTGGAAAATAGCTGGCTACAAGCTTCTCTGCAAGAATGTCTGCGTTGGCTCAGCGCTCTCTGCGACAGAATTCTACAGGAAGTGGTGGCACTCTACATTATTATTTCATGCAGCATGTCAGCATCCACCGAGTTGCCGGCACTGCAACAAGCGAGAAGGCCCGAACTCCTACGAAACACTATTTCACCACCTGAGTGCCGGGGGAAGCTAAAGACGCCCAGAACAGTCTCGCCGACAAACTCACAGTCCGCAGGCCTCATGATGAACTTTCCAGTCCAGTCTGCCTAAGCATGGCTCAGTTTGCGTCCAGGAGCGGTCAAACCAATGAGCATTTACTCATGCGATCCGTCACCATCTTGGCGGATACAGTTCGCGCAGAACACCATGCGCGGATTACTATTGGGATGGGGCTTTGTTTGGCGTGAGTTTCAAGGCGGAAACTTGGTCCGGCAATGTAAAGCATACGTGCGCGCTTCCAATGCAGGCTCGTCTCTCATACCAAAAAATATCCGCAAGCCTGCCAGGACCTCATGGGCCCCAAAAATCTGGAAAGCCGGGCTTACCTGCACTGCAAAGTTTTAAAGATTGCCCACGAAGATGTGCGGACCCCCACAATAACCGAAA